ATATTGGGTGTATAGAGAGCTTAAAAGTGTACTAACATAAACAAGATTTGATTTTGGATACCACCTTCTACGACTTTGAACAACTAAGCTAGTTGGCAACCACAATTCCGCAAGTACACCTCTATCTCGTCAGTTTTTCTTAAATGGTATAATTCACATCAATCAAAATATTCATAACTTCCAAAACAATCAAATTAAAGTCCCTTTCACCAACAACAAGTCATGCAACATCAAATGCTGTAACCTTAATACTGCATTTCTCACCAATCATAACCCAAAAAAAAATGCAAACTAATTTACTATCACTCCAATTTAACCAATCTAATTGATTAATATTGCCTCTAATTTAACAATTTCTAACAATTAAGTTCTATACCAAAAAATTTCACTAACAATAAACCATTCAACATCAAATGTTGAAAACGAATGCTGCATATCTCACTAATCATATAAAAACCATGCACTATAAAATTATAAATTCAACATCACTCCAATTTTCCCAACCTAATTAATTAATAATCAATAACCCCTCTAATTTAAAAATGAAATGCAATTACCAACAAAATTAATTAATCAAATAATTACAAAATTGCAACTTACAGGGCAATTCAAGATCAATGAAAGACGAAGACATCTCAGGGCAAGATTGAGGGTGAGAGTACTTGGCAATGGAGTGGGCCGAAAGCCCATTAAGAGTACCACAAAGAGAGCAAGTCCAAGCCCACTGATCAAGCTCGCAATAAGAATTGAAGTAAGCCCAACAATTCTCACACCTCGGTAAATTCTCACCGTCGGATCCCATCGACGGTGAAATTCCGTTCTCATCTCTGCCGGAAAACGGCGAAACAGTAACACCCCATGGTAGACCCGACGACTCCTGCTCATCCGGGTCCATTGGAAACCGGGTCATCGAGGCCCGAACCGCCATTGTTTGGTAGGAGAGAGAAAATTCGGGTTGCAGAGATTTGATTTGATGTGATGAAAGTGTGGGAGAGTGTTTGAAGGTTGATGATGGTTGGGGTGTAGGATTAGAGGTAAATATGGTGTATGTTAGCGTATGTTAGCGTTTTTATTTTATTTTTTGGGTTGAATTGTCTAAAAGAGGTCCACGTCGGATGAACCAATTACAGTTTGCCACTTGGTGGTGATGTGGCAATAGTTTACTGTATGTAATTTTTAGGAAAGACGGTCTCACAGAGACCTTCCAAAGGGAAGTTAGTGAGGTATGAATAAGTAGGGGTATTGGGATCATTTCACATAAAATGCATTTTTGAATTTAGAGTAATACCATTGAACATTCAGTGGCACTATGTATGTATGTAGAGGTACTATATATTCATTTAGTGTTACTAACTATGTATAGAAATAGTATCACTACATAGTCAATGGAATTATATAAGGTTTCAGTGGTACATTTAAAAGTGATCTCACTTACCCATCTCTCTCCTCCTTTTTCTCACCCCCATGTGCTTTTCAATATTTTAATATTTGCTATGCATTTGCAAATACATAACAAACTTGAATTAGTAATTCCTCCTGTCTCACATAATGTAATAGCCATGAGTCTGTATGACCAGTAAAATGAGCTAAGCAAAATGTATGTTATATTGCTAATGATCTTTTAGTAATTAAAAAAAATAAAAAATAAAAAAAATAAAAAAAAAAATTGCTAATGAACTTATTTGGAAAACATAGATCAAATACAATAAGTTAGTCAAAAAAATTATTTGTAAAGATCTTAATTTTTTTTGGAAAATATTATACTTGTATTTTTTAGTCTAAAAGACACGTGTCACTCTCCCTATGCTTAGTGTGGGGTACAAGATTTGATCTCATGACCTCAAGTTTAAACATTAAAATTTTAACCAATAAACCATTCGATAATGTTATCTTTATAATGAAAATTATTGCGGAGAATAACCAAATATTCAAGAGATATATCGTCCTGAGATGGCCCACAGGATTAAGACGTGGCCCACAGAGATATCTTTGGTCGATCAACCAAAAAAATGGTGACATTGATCAAGACATGGTCCACAGGATTAAGTAGGGGTGGCTTAAATGGAGAGCAGCCACTAGAGTGTTATGTGATCGAAACATTCTCTTACAGTTAAAGGGAAAATTCTACAGGACTGTCATAAGACCAATGTTGCTCTATGATACTGAATGTTGGACTTCTAAGGAGAAACACATTAAAAAGATAGAGGTTACGGAAATGCACATGTTAAGGTGGATGTGCGGGAACACTCTAAGAGATAAAATCATAAATGATGTTATTCGCAAGAAAGTAGGCGTGGCTGCGTGGCAGACATTGCTGACAAATTAAGGGAAAATCGTATGGGTTGGTTTGGGCATGTAAGGCGGCTGAGGGTGCACCGCTACGAAGAGTGGGACTAGGGGTGGGCAAAAAAATCTGATCTGAACGATCCGATCCGAAAAATTAGATATTCGATCCGGTTTTTTCGATTTCAGATATTTCGGATCGGATATTCGAAAATTTTCAGATCGGATTTGGATCACAAATCTAGAAAAATTAAATAAAGTTATAAAAAAAATAACTAATTTGCAACAAACTCCCAGTTAGAATGTTAGCTCTAATTATAATGTAATACTGACATACTGTATTTGTATCTTGGATTTTAAGGAAGTGAATTTTTTCATTTATTTTTTTTACAAGTATTTTTTAGTTGCCTTAATAATCAAGTGAACCTTATTGCATCATTGTCCTTGTATTTGTTGCATTTATTTAAATTTTTTATAATTATTACAAAAGTTCATAAAATATAAGATTTTAAACAACTCAAATCAAGGGCATTTTACTAAAAGAAATACCAAAATTTCAATATTAGTATGTGGATCGGATAACTGGTGATCCGATCCGAATATCCGGTTTTTTCGGATCGTAATTTTTCCGATCCGTAATTTCGGATCGAATATCTGAAAGGCTAGCCATAAATGGGACCATGGAGGAGTGAAACAAAGGAGAGGGTGACCGAATTGAAAATGACTTGGTTTGAAGGAGTTAGGAAAGATATGAAGCATATGGATTTGCATGAGGATGAGGCATTAGATCATTAGGGATGGAGGAGGAAGATTTTTGTCGATGATTAAACGGAATAATCACTGTTGGTTCATGTAGGCGACCCCACTTACGGGATTAAGGCTTTAATTGATTGATTGATTGATTGATATACATGCCCGTTTATGTGGTTTTGGTGACCTGGGGCAAAAACATAAATTGGGGCCCTAATTCACATATAGAATATAATATTAAAAAAATTAGGTATGTAAAAAGAAAAACACATATTTTATTATGACTTATTTTTTTATAGGATATTTATTATGATTAATAATCTTTAAAAACATCAAATTTTACAAAAAAAAAAATCACATTCCTATAACTCTCGTTGAAGCAATTAGATAAATCCCGTTGAAAATTGAAGAGTAAAAGAATCGTTTATCATAATTTTCATCTTGAATTGAATTGCAAAAGAGATAATTAATCTGACTTAAAATCGAAAAGAGATAAATTTTGAAAAAATAAAATTACCGAAAGAAGTGGATATAATATTATAATGGAATTACTTGTCAAAAGAAAAAAAATTACTGTATTATAATTGAATTAATGACTGTTTATTTTTATTTTTATTGAGGGGTTAATAAAATTCACTTAGGAAAGTGAATAATTTTGGGCCCAAAGTTAGGGAGGAAGCATGTTGACCGATAATGCTGTTTGACATTATGGAATTAGCCAATTAGATAGTACTCGTACTATTATAGTGTTGTACAGTACACACTTTTTTTTCTCTCTTTTTTAATATACATATATATTTTGGGGCCTTGTATTATATTGAATATGGGCTTTTTAATCAGGGGCCCAGGGCAACCACCCCATTTGCCCTGCCCTTGCTACGGGCCTGTTGATATACCGTCCCGAGGTATTGCCCCGGGCTTAAAAACTAGTATATTTATAATATATTAGTAGATAAAATAAGTCAAAGGTAAATATGTGTGCAAATTTTCAAGAAAGCATTTGTTTAAAAATAAAAAAAATAAAAAAAATAAAAAAATAAAGAGAGAGAGGTTTTTTCTTATTTTCTGTGTACAAATGAGCCACAGAGAACGATACAAATTATAAATAAGGGTAGGAGGATTTAAACCTATGATCTACCTTACACAACTTAATGCTTTATTCATTTATTTTTATCACTTATTTTAGAAAATTAATTCGTTCATAAAAAGGTCAATAAGGTCAGATATAAACAATCTAATATGGTAAATAATCTGTTTTCGAGTGGGGAAGCTGCTGTAATTTTGAATATGTCTATTCCCTTATATGACAAGGCTGATATGTGGTCATGGCATCACTCAAAGGATGGTTCATACACTGTTTGGAGTGCTTACAACTTTCTAGTTACTGTTGAATCCCGAGGCAAAGCTTCAACTTCAAATTCTCAGATTTCTTTCGATTGGAAGATAATATGGCAGGCTGATGTTCCACCCAAGGTCAAGCATTTTGATTGGAGAGCGGTTAGGGGAGGAATTGCTGATAAAGTATCTTTGACTGTTAGAGGACAAAATCTGCTCGATGTGCGGAGAAGGAGAGGAGAATGCTATGCATTTATTGGCTCGATGTAGGGAGGCAAGGCTGCTTTGGTATAGCTCGCCTGTAAGGATAATTGTGGATGACTACGATGATAACACTGTGAGAAGCTGGTGTATGACTTTGCGGGGTAAGTTTAAGGACTCCAACTGCTGGAATATCTTTTGGAATCTTTTATGGGGAGTGTGATTGAGGCGTAATGGTTGGGTGTATGGAACACTAAAGGAAACCAAAAACCCCTCCCAAGGAAAAAAAACCTAATCCTCGTCAATTTTACTCAACCAAAACTTAATAAAACAAAATATTTTTATAGGGCAACCAATTAAGGATAAAGGGAGTAACAAGCATTCAAATTAATGTATGGAATAAAAAGCTTTATGGTTTGACAAAGCAGAAATAGAAAGTATGTTATTGTTAATTCATTAAGTTTATCAAAATCTAATAAAGCAAACAAGAAGTATTGTTTAATTGTTTCTCAATTTATACATTTTGACATTCACTATATACAAGAAGAAGTTCAATTGTTGTAATCCCAAACTTCTACACTTTCTCAGCCCTCTGTGTATTTAAAGACCGGCAAACTTAAGGTACCAACTACCTACAGCTTTACATTCCATAGGAACAAGCAAGACATTTAAATGACTCGCAAGCAACTTGGCAAGGAAGAAGATCCACTTCAATTTCAATAATCACCAGAGAATCCATCTAAAATGACGATTGGAGGCCAAAAATAATTCTGCAGGTCGGTGCTTGAAGAGACAACTCATTCACTCAAAGCACTTGGCAACATTACAAACCATACTAGTGATGGCAAAGAGGCAAATCTCCTACTGATACACGCTGAATGTGTGAGACACCATCCTAGCAAAACCTCTTGACATCAAGCCTCTCATTGCTCTTTGAGCCAAAGATCCATTCACCTGCAAATAAACATTATACTACGGAGTACCATTTAGGTCTGAATATAAGCACATACTGTAATAATTCATCATATCAAGACTGTTCACTGTTGGTCTGTTGCCTCTTCAGTTATCACACTTTTTCAACACGGAAAATCTCAGGAGATAAAAGGTCATATTTTTTTAACATCATCAGAGACAACAACATACCTCGCAAATTCTCGTAAAAATTCTCAGTTTCATAAAACAGCAATTCATAAAGACAGTTATTCCACCATTCCGTCCATATCAGCAAGATGCCACTCAGATTGAAACAAAAAAAAAAAAAACTAATAAAGAGAACTACTAAAGCCTCCTCGGTACAGGCTAACATCAAAAGGAAACCTTTCCTAGCAATCACACAACTTCATGCAATTAAAAACCATCAACCTCCCTGCATGCCCGCAATTCGAATATAGTCACTCCTTGCACAATTTACCTAATTACCGATCGATCTATCCCCACTTCCTATCACTATGATAAATTGACTGTAGCCTCCTCAGTTCAGGTCTCCAAATTTTTTCTACAGGGAAGACATCAGAACTTAACTTGTCATCATCATTGGAGACACTAAATTCAATTCAAGAGTTCCTACCTTTCCTTGCCCATTTGTATATCCTTTCCCTCAATTGACAAATAAAAAAAAATCGTGAGCTGCTAAACAAATAAATCCATATCTATATATTAACAAGTTCACCACTCCCGTGCACCAATAAATCTTAATTAACCTTTACAACGTCAGTACACTTCAAGATCACAGTAAATATAAAGCTTAAACCAATCAACAAAAGTTACTAAAGCCTCTTCAGTTCAGGTCTCCATATAATTTCCGCATGAGTTTCTCAGAAGAACGAAAAGTTATGTTTTCAATCATCATTAGAGGCTACTAGTATAGATTGGCACACATTTTCTACTACACTATGATCTACTTAAAGCACATAAATCACAAAACTCTCCACTCATAAGTCCAACAGGAAAATATAATAAATATCCAACTCTCTATCCCCAAAATGAAATATATAGATCAGCATATGTTTACAAACTACTACATCCGCAGTTTGTATCCAGAATATATTCCAACAAGAATATATTCCAACATACAAGTACAGAAATTATTAGAAAGTTTTTCAATTGCCATCATCCTTGGAGAACTACATTTTTTTAGTTAACACATCCCAATTCATAACCCTAATTGTAATTACTACCCATACTCATCAAGATGAAAGTCTGAATAACATTATGAAATACAAATCCAATAAACACAACTACTAATTGCCTCTTCAGTTCAGGTCTCCATATAGTTTCCGCATGATAAATCTTGGAAGAACGAAAGTTATGTTTTGATCATCATTAGAGGCTAGCATTTGACAATAATACACAAATCCTTTAATGTACCATACAAACTCCATGTAATAATACACTTTAAGCCCAAAATAATCACACAATATCAAAAAAAGACGAAACCTAGCTATATACTACAGCAATCAAATTCTCATTTCATGTCTCCTGGTACTTCAACATAAGAGATATTCCCACCAAATATTTTTCTTAGTCTTAATAAAGACCGACCAAATTCAGGGACTACAATTTCCCCCCACTTATTGCCCTCGAACAAATGAACTTTAAAGTACAAATAATGATATTAGCGCACCAATAATTTACTAACACATTTGGGGTTACAGTCCGGTATTCTCACAACTGTGAGATTCTAAAAATTTTGCAGTCATTTTTAACATATAATCACACCAAAAAAAAGCCTCTTCAGTTCAGGTCTCCAATAGTTTTTCCGCATGAGAATATCTCGGAAGAACGAAAGTATTATTTTGATCATCATTAGAGGCCAAACATAATTAATTCAGAATCCCAACAAACACAGATTTCCGGCAGTCTAATTCCTGCAAATGCAATTGTAAAGTAGGGGTCATTCAAGAAATTTCACATATTTTACTTGCTATTCTATTAATTTCTCAAAAATGATGTTCGAGTTCAACACAAAACAATAATTACAACAGCCGAAACCTTACTATCTTCTACCACAACCAGAAATTCTAATTTGCAAAAAAACAACAAATTACAACCTCCTCCCTCATACGAAGCATAAGATATCAGACATTCTTCCTCAGTATTAATGAACTACAATCTTCCACCCATATAATGTCCCACACAAATTTAAAATTAAAATTATGTTACTGAATACAAAAAATGATATCTGCCCACTAATAATTTATTTCCTAAGCACATTTAGATAATAATAAAGTAAAAAATAATTCATTATTTAACAAATAAATGCAAATAAAGGCCTCTTCAGTTCAGGTCTCCAATAGTTTATCCGCATGAAAATATCTCGGAAGAACGAAAGTATTGTTTTGATCATCATTAGAGGCCAAACTTTATCACTTTCAAAAACCCAATAAATTCATATGAAAATGGGGAAATGGGGAAGATTCAAGAACATTCTAGATGAAAACGGCGGAGTATTAGTTACCTTCTTCAGATGGCCGGCGTTGGATTTGGCAAAATGAAACGACGTCGTTAATAGGAGAAACTTCAATTATACGGATGACATGAAAAGTTGAACTGAGAGAATGGAAATGGAAATGGAAATGGAAAAGGTCGCCGTTTTTAGGGAAAGAAATGGAGGAGAGAGAGTGGGAAGGTGGGTGATTGCGGATGGAGAAGGGTGGAGTGTTATAGGGTTCAGTCACTGAGAATGAAGAATTAGGGTTTATTATTTTTTAGGGTTTTAGGATTTGGGCTGTGTTCAGATTGGTTTGGGCCTTTGAGGTGTTTTGGATACTAAGTATAGGTGTTCCAGAAGAGGAATAGGGTTCATAGTTTTCAACTTTTCATACAACATAGTTAAGTTGGTCAAATAACAAGCAAATGTTAAAAATTTAATCAGTATTTAGTTGTAATTTTATGTAGTAGATTAGATGGTGGAGAGTAAACTTTCATCATATTTGATTAACTTCCATAATGTGCATGAAAGTCATATAAACTTTGTATGTAACAGGTTTGGTTTATAAAAACAAAATTTTTAATTGGAGTTTTGTTTGTTTGGCCGACATGGCAAGTTATAATTTACTTGACATGGGTGATATGTCGTTATTGAGTAGTGTTTTTTGTATTAGGGAAGGGTAAGGGAATTTTAACCTCAAGTTACTTCTAGTGAGTTTTGATAGCATTCTTCACCACTATACCAAGTATAATTTGGTAATACAAAAATTACATATTGCTATGCTAATACCTTTTGCAACACAACCTTTATCTGGTTGGGTCACACACATCACCATTCAATTAGGACATTGTGTAGATTTTATATTGTTAACAAAAACTTGCATTAGGCTAATACTTTTTCCAACAAGCATTTCTCATCTTGATAATCATAAGAGGTAAGTATAGTCATTGAATTAATAAGTGATGCTGCTTTTTGTAATTAGGTTTGACGATTGAAATTAAAAATAGCTAACTCCTCTATCCTTCTTCTTCTATTTGGTCCTTCTTCCTTCAACTTCACTTACCTTCATTTTTGTTTTTCATCAATTTAAAAGGTAGAGAGTTTTCCCTCCTCCATTGAAGTTGAGCTTTTCCTTCTTCTTGAAAAGAACTACACCATATGAAGTGTGTGTGAGTCTTGCTTTAAAGGACCAAATAGCTTTAATGGAGAAATTAGGGGAGTCTTAAACAGAGTCTTGAAGAGCTTTCCCTTATTTGATGGAGTCTTGCTATAAGTAACAAAAGGACGTCAAATAAGGGGTGTTTTTGGTCAGCTGTACAAGTACACCAATGAGTTTTTTTTTTTTTTTTTTTTTTTTTTTTTTTTTTTTTTTTACAAAAACTTAAATATCAAGGCAAATTTACATATTTGCCATTAGATAAATACAATTGGTTCATCAAAATGAGAAACTTCTATTTTCTCAGTTCCTACACAATCTTGATATGCATGATTGTTACGTTAAAGACGCGTATGCTCTAGCAATTAAGTGATTAAATCATAACCCGTGTTGTATTTTTAGTTGAAAAAAACATAATAAAACACAAAATTTAACAATGCAAGATGTAAGCTAAGATACGAGAGCCCAACCAATACATACACTAGGTTAACCCTTTTAACACGCTGACACGACAAGAGCCCACCATGGCACCATACTAAATTGCTAATGCAAAGGGGAACTAATAGCACACTTTTTTTTTTTTTTAAACAAACTAATACTCCGTAGCACACTCCAGATAAGAACTAAACAATTCTTGTGGAATCAATCCATTTCTTGCATCCAACGACACAAGCCCCCTTTTCCCTTTTATTTTTATTTTCTTTTATTATTATTATTATTATTATTATTAATTTTTTTTTTTTTTTTTTGCTGTCCACACCACACCGCTGACCCGACTTATAAACCTCAACATTGCCATTTCGCTCTTCATCTACCTTCCCCCTTTCTCTCTCTACAAATTCAGCGCAAATACTAGGTAATTTTCTCTTTTTTCTTGCATTTTCAAGCTCACTCCATTTCTCGTTGATTTTATAGAGCATTTTGTTAGTCAATTCACTCATCTATGTTTGCGATTTAAGTTCGATTAGTCTCTAATAGCTGATTTTGTGATTAGTATTAGCATTAGCTCATATTGCGATTTCAAGCTCTTAAAATCGCCTGTCAATCTGTAATATCGTCTTTTTGTTTGATTTTTTTTATGATTTTATGCCAGTTTAAATGACTAATCTATTGTTGTTCCATTTTTTTGTTTTTGTTTCGTTGAAATTTCATGGATTTCTGCTTCGTAATGTTAGGGTTTTTTCAATAGAATAGGTGATCGTTACTCGCTTCATTTTTTAATCTGTTTTCCTTTCGTTTTGGTTATATGCTGTTCATTTTATAGAACACATTGATTTTCTGGGTTGAAAATTACTTGAACAAGCTACTATTTATTTGGATTATGTGGTATGTTTTAAGGTTGGGTCTGCTGACATTTTTATCATTTTTTTTTACCTTAATCTGCAAATGGGTTTATGTACAGTGTATTAGTTTCTTGAAGAGAGGGATTTGTTTGATATTTGTATGTTGTGATGGGTTGTTTATGTGATGCAATATCATGGGGTGACAAATTGACAATAGTGTCTACTTTCTTCTGTAGGATTTATGTTGAGGAAGATTGTTTGTCTACTTGTATTCTTTTTATTGTTTATTATGATAATTTGCGATAGTAGTGTGACTTATTATGTCACCTAGACTTGATTACTCATATGATCGTGTCGGACATGGCCAAATTTATGAGATTTCGATACAAAATGAAGTGTCAAAGTGTTCATTCTCATGTTGGACTGTCTAAGAATCCAACATGGGTACTTCGGGTGAAATGAAGAGTCTGAATAATGTGGTTTGTGTGGCCCTTGGCTGATATTTGGTGTTAGTTTTATACACTTTGAAGCAGATCATGGAGTTGTGACTTGTGAATGGTATGTGTGTATCACTTGTTTGTGGCCTTTGTGATGCAATAGAGTTTGGTTGTACAGTTGTATCCCATATTATGCCCGTGATTTATCTCGTCCACTCGTTGCCCTGCCCCCTATTCCCCCACTTAATCGTAAATGGCTTGTCTAGCCATCTAAGCTGGAGGGAGTCTGGGAAGTTGGCTTTGATAAACTTGTTGAAGTTTAATGCACTACTCTTATATAGAATGTGCCTGTAATTAGTGGTAAACAAGCACTTCAGGTTTTGTTATATGCGAAGAGTCTAGGATCGATTAAGTAGATTAATTGCACTATTTCCTTGTGGTATAAAATGAAGTCTACAGTGGTTCTTTCTGTATTATGGCTACTGTTTGTGTGTTATGTGGTGCTTGTAAATGCTGTAAATGTTTGCTTGATGGCCAATTGCTTGAAATATTAAGTTACGTATTTACTGAACTTGTAGTCTTTAAGATTTAACTAGGTTTTTACACACAAATCATGATATCAACATATGCAAGATTTAACTCATCTTGCAGCACCTGCCACCTGTGTACAATTTTTTGAGGTATAACATGAAGTCTTATATGGCCGTTAATATTCTGATCACCGTTGCATTATCCTGTTTAAATTTGTTGTAAGACCACTATTTATGTGCTATGTGTCATTTGTGACTGCTTTATATTAAATGTATGCTCTTGAAATCTGAAAGATTTAAGTAGATTTTTACCAAATACACACACAAGTGCAAGATTTAACTCATTTTGTTGCAACATCGACAAGTTTCTCGAGTTATGAATCCTATGATGTTAAATTGATATGATACAATTCTCAAATTTGAGCTAAACATTGTCTGTATGCAGGTTTATACTTGAATCATATACTTGTGATCAACATGGCAGGAAGAGTTGCTGCAAGATATGTATCTAGAAGGTTTTCAAGTGGCGGCAAGGTTCTAGGTGAGGAGGAAAAGGCTGCAGAGAATGTCTACATCAAGGTGATGCATTTACTTTTAACTTATAAGTTATATTTATACAGTTAAGTTGATGGTCATGCTGATTATTTCTAAGAATAATGGAAATTAGGACTTTTAGGAGAGAGAACCTGTTATCATCTATCAGTGTTTCTCTGAATTCTCCATGTATCTTCATCTGATGTGTAGATTGAATGTGCTATGACGTGCATTTTTTTTTTCCCTTGCATAAACATGGTCTGTTGTCATTTATAACCAGTCTCATATTTTGACCTTTATGAACTGTCCTAGTGGTTGTTTATTTGAGATCAGAGCTCTAGAATGAATGTGGTTGTTTAATTTATGAATTTATTTTTTTTCTTGCCCTTGTTTACCTAGCCAGCTGATATGCTAGATTCTAATACCTATTTATCGTTCTCGGCAGAAAATGGAAAAGGAAAAGCTGGAAAAGGCTGCTCGTCAGGTTTGCAGATTGCGCCCTTTATCTGTTTAATTTCATTTCTAATGTGGGTATTATGAATGCCCAGTCTAAGTAATTGGGATTGAGACAGCAGGGTTGGTGACAGTGTCTCTTTTTTATGTGATAACCTGCTTTTACTCCTGGTCCCTCCTCTCTGTGTATGATTCCCCCATTATAATTCTTAAATGGAACTAAAATAAACGGTGGTTATGTTGGGCCTGTAGTATGAGCAATCTGCACGAGATTTATTTTGTTTCTTGCTACTGTTATGTTCATCTGCCATCCTGATATCAATTACGTTGATGACTTTTGCAATATACACTCCCCCTGGCCCCTTTAGTAAACACTCTGAAGTCCTGATTTGAATTCCTAGGCTTAGTCAGACCAACAACTAGGGCATAACTACGCCCCTCACTACATTTGCTGTAAAATTAATCTTGTGAGTGATCTTATTATAGTTCTCCCACTTTTTAAATTGAGAACTATCTTACATCTTAATGCCTCCAGGGTCCTAAACAAGCAGAGGGAGAAGCGACTAACTCAGGGGCTCCAGCAGCTGAAGCTGTAAAGCCAAGTGGCTCAGAACCTTCAGCTCCCAAGATTTCAACTGACAAGCACCGAAACTATGCTGTCTTGGCTGGACTTGTCACTGCTTTGGGTGCCGCTGGGTGGTACTATAAGTCTGGTTCGAAGAAGACTGAAGAAGTCCAAGACTGAGAAGCTTCCTGAATGATCTGGTTCCTTGGTCTGGGGTAGTGCTTGGACAAGTCTGATAAATAATCAATGAGAGTTTATCTTAAAACAGTGGAGTTTTTGTTAGGCATTTTCTAATCCCCATGTTTACTTGCACATGCACTGAAAAGCTGGTTGGTGATATACATTACACTGTTAAATGGAAATAGGTCGATTCACGAAGATCATCTGTTGTTTTGCTTATATGACAGGGTAACATGTTTTTCTATGCCAATTCCCATTTGATTGTGCTTCCTCTTGGCTCATTGTATTAAGTGAATGCTATGTGTGAACAAGCTAACTGGGAATTTCTGTATCTACATACATTTCATCCTGCAGGTTGAAGAATGAATGAATGAACTGCAAATCCTTTTTTTGGCTATGGTCTGAGTTATTTGATAATTTTCAGTGGCAGTCTTTATTGAGGATCCTTCTTTGGCCTTGTCAAAAGTTGGCATTGTTGCCCTTTTGGTTTCATCAGAAACTGCTTCTGACTGATTTAATGCTCCTGTAGTTTGTGTCCTTCACAGCTTCATTTGTTGCTGTATCTGTAATTCTTGTTTTGTGCCTTGCTACCGCCCACCGGGTCTATCCTTCACCCAAGTGGGTTCCCCATCAGCTTGGTCTTGAGATATTTGCACTAAAGAAGCTTAGTAGCTTACTCTCAAGATAGGATATTGGTGGAACCTTCATTTTACCCAATAAAAATATTAAGCTGTTGGTCCATAATTCAATAATTTCTTGGAGTATGCATTAGTGCATAACCATCAACTGCCTATCATTGCATATAAAAAATAAAAAAAAAATAAAATAAAAAATCGACTGCCTATCATTGTATTCATTTTGTGGCATTCACTACCGGTCTCAAGTTCGGATAAAGGAGGAGAGTTGGGTAGGTCTGTGACGGCTGTGTAAAACTTAATCATATTTTATGGACCTAAATCAAAATATCGGTAAAAGCTAATCTGTATCTCTAATTCTATGTAAAATATTTATTTATTTATTTTTGAGAGAGATAGCAAATGGGCTTAGTTCATTTAGCAATATCCATTATCCAAGTCGTTTCTTTAAAAAAAAAAAAAAAAAAAAAAAAAAAAAAAAACTGAAATGAGAAAAGGCAAAAGGCTGAATTGACAGTATCGATTCCTTGATCAGGCTTTACCTCACCGATAGTCATAGTCGGCAGCTTCACCTGATCACGTGGCTGTGGTTAGCCGGTTGTGGGCCCCCTTTCTCCGGAAAATCGTCAACAAAACCGACCTACATTTCCTTATCCTGCACCTTCCCGCACCTGATTTAAGCCCCTTCGACTCTCCAACTCCAAGTGAGTGTGACCTGAGGAGAGAGAACACTCACTCCAAAGGGCAAAAATGGAAGGAAGAAAAGTCAGTGTTGCTGCTCTCCAGTTCGCTTGCTCCGATGACATCTCTTCTAATCTTGCCACCGCTGAAAGGTTTTTTGTCCAATTTTTATTTCATTTTCTCGAAATTTAATCATTCATTTTTTAGGTTTCAATTTTTCATATTTTTTGTTTGTCAATTGTTAAATTTTGCATGTTACTGCTAATTTAATTTTGGCAAAGTTCGGAAAAATGCAATTCATTTCAATACTTGAGCAAAATTTGGTTGAGTTTTTTTTAGCAACATTTATTTTTGATGAGTACTGCAAATTTAGTGTCAGCAACTATAAATGTGATTTGCGTTGATTTTATGTGTTAAAATGCTTGGAATCAAACATTGTGATATCAGGATGATAGATTATGGTAGTTTTATGGCTGAACTAATAATTTAAATAGGAAGTTATTGGTAATAATAATTGGTAATAGATCTCTATGCTGTCCCTTGTTTTCAGCCTTAATCTTGAATGTTAACTGCCAGAAATAAGCTGCAAGTACTTAAGATTAACATCCAGATTACTCTGTGAAAATATCGAGGGCCTATTCTTTTTCACTTGAAGAACCCTTAAACATTTTTTAATTGAACCAAACATATTTAAACTTATTGGCCTCGAGTTAGACTAATCTAAACTTATTAGCTGCCAACTAAACGTAGTTGAACACTTGAACTTAGTACCCCTTAACTTGAACTAATTAGCTTGTAACTGAAACTTTTATGAACTTTATTGGACTTAATGTTGTTGAACTGAACTAATCATCCCTAAATTGAATCAATCTAAACTAACAATGAATGTGCATATGTAGTAGACTGGTTTATACCCTTGAATGCACAATGCTTCCATTCCCACACCATGATGATTGATTGATTTTTGCTGATGGATGCAATGCAACTATACAATTTTTCAATTTCCTTTTCATCTCTTATACCTATGAGTAGATGAGCGACTTGGATAGTCCTAACAAGTGAAAACTGCAAATACAAGGGTCTTTTTGGGTTGGTGACTTTTGAATTGTATAGTAATACCTTGCTATTATCAACTAGAGTGCTCTTCTGATTAGTATAAGAAATATGAGTATGAAACTTGACAATTGCATGTCTCTATTGGGTATGGTGTTCATCTGTAAGAAATCAGTCCACTATCTGGAGGTTTTAAGGTTGTATAGTGACACCTTAAGTCCTAAATTATAAACACTAAAAATATAAGGAATATGAGATTCTTAACATTGACAATTGCATATTTCTGACATACTTGCTATTTCACTTATGGTTAGTATGAAAATTATTTGGACGCAGGAGATGTTTAAGATTGGTAGTAATACTCAGTAATTTTCTTTTCTTTTCTGTTTTTAAATTAAAAAATTAGAGTGCTCTCCAGTCATTGCAGTCATTGCTTACTAGACAAATCAGATACTGAAAAGTTTGCTCATTTTCCCTCTTGCTTTATCCTTACTGCATAATGAATTGAAAATATGGTAAAGGCCTAATCTTTTTGGGTTCCATCTTTCATTTGCCTATTGTTCTTTTGAACTTTTCAACTGTGATGCATAACTTTCAAATCTCTTCTGTTGATTAATCTCCCTCCCCACTTCTAAGCCTTTCAAATGTAATAAAAGATATGAACAAGAGTGCCATCATTTTGACTAGTATTGTAATCTTGGTTATGGATTTGGTTGCTGTATTTTATTCTGCATATTGTTTCACCTGCTGTGCAGGCTTGTGAGAGCTGCTCATAAGAAGGGCGCAAACATTATCCTCATCCAGGTGTGAAACTTTGAGCATGTGATGATTTTTGCTTAAGTTGTAGGCGTCTTGCTGTTCTGTCCCCTCCCCCCTTCTCAAGTTTTTCCTTGTGAATTACACCTTGTGGTATGCTTTAAGTTCTGCTTTCATATTTCAGGAACTTTTTGAAGGGTATTACTTTTGTCAAGCCCAGAAGGAAGATTTCTTCCAGAGAGCCAAACCGTATAAGGGCCATCCAGCAATTGTTAGGTAAAATTATTGCCTAAAAGACTGATGTATGAAGTCACCTTGTACATAAATGAGAAGATATTTTGTTACTTGGCTAGGCTTTAGGCCTGTTCACTTCACTTATAAAAATAATATTAAGTAAAAATAATTTCAAGTAAAATTAATTTCAGTTCAGTAAAAATAAGTTCAGTTGAGTAAAATTCAGTAACTATAAAAAAGAAATATAATAGAAAATCAGTAAAAATAATTTCAGTTCAGCAAAAAAAAAAAAAAAAAAAAAAAATTAACATAGTAAAAAAAAAAGTAAAAAAAAATCAATCAGTAAAAATAATTTTAGTTCAGCAAAAATAAGGTGAAGTGAACGGGGCCTTAGTATATCATTAGATACTTTATTTGAACTTTCATGCTACTGGGGCTTTTAGGGGAGGTCTATTGTGATTTTCTCTTCATGGTGCAAATTAAATTCCCTTGTTTTGGGTGGTGGTGGGGGTACCTTTTACTTATATTGTAGAAATTAAAAGGTGCTTCTTATGGTTACTGACAGGTTGCAGAAACTAGCAAAAGAGCTGGGGGTAGTGATACCAGTTAGTTTTTTTGAAGAGGCAAATAATGCTCATTACAATTCAGTGGCAATCATTGATGCTGATGGGACTGATCTAGGACTTTATCGCAAGTCTCATATACCAGATGGGCCAGGTATGTAGGATGTGCAAGGCTTTTTTCTTCTTCCTTCTTTCCTGCCTCCTTCCCCATTTGCCTCTTCCGGTTAGGGTGTTGGGAAAGTTTTATGATTTATTGTTTTCTCTATACTGCTTGATCTTATTATATCAATTATTTCATTTTCTCATCCTTTAGGTTATGAGGAGAAATTCTATTTCAACCCTGGTGATACTGGCTTCAAGGTGTGCACTTGTTCCCATGTTAGGTTTTTTATGCCTTGTTTTTACATGTTAGAAATTTGAAATATCTAAATCCCAGGCTACTTCTAGACAAAGTTATATCTGAATCTCAGCTATAAATCTAACTTCGTCTTTTGACTTGTCTCTTGAACCCAAAATTTGTTAGTTTGATATGCCACTTGCTATTATTGGATAATTGTATTTTTTATGTTGTTATTGCCTTTTGAATGTAAGGAAAGATATATGTTGCTTAGTCACAATGAAAGATCAGAATTTAAGATGGTGAAATTGTGTAGAAGAAGAGGATATAGTACATTTCTCAAACTGAAAACATAGTTGCTATGCTTACAATTCTGTATCCATGGGCTATAAACATCTAGTTGTCCATCTAGTTGTCTAGTTCACCTTTTACTCCGTACTAATTACTGAAATACTGAGGATACAAAATTGTTGGAAATATATTTTGCATCCATTATTTAAAACTATTTATCTTCTGATTTTGTTTGTATCTATAATGCGATGACCCTCATAAATTTCTTTTGTAAATTTTGGCTACAGGCATTCCAAACTAAATTTGCCAAAATTGGAGTTGGTAAGTCACAATTTTCAGCACTTTCTGTACATATCTCGAGCTTAGATGTGGATATGCGTAAACTGTCTTAAATGGCCACCTGATTTTGTGTGGCTAGATATTCACTATAAAAATTCAGGGCAGGTGAAACTTTTTGCAACCTTCCCTATAATCGACTGTTTTGGTTTTGTAGGAATCTGTTGGGATCAGTGGTTTCCTGAGGCAGCCCGTGCAATGGTACTTCAAGGTGCAGAGATATTGTTTTACCCCACAGCAATTGGTTCTGAACCCCAAGATGATGGACTTGATTCTCGTGATCACTGGAAGCGAGTGATGCAGGGACATGCTGGGGCTAATTTGGTACGTCAACTTATGCAATTTTCAATTTCAGTTTACTCTGATTACCCAAGTTATTAATTTATTATTACCCATGCAGGGTGCTTTACTCTTATATTTCCAGTCTCAACATGCTAGTGATGATTTTGCTTTAGTAATGACCGTCATGTTTTGGTTTCTGTATATACTTTTGTCATCGCTGATTTGCTGTCCATTCAGAGTTGGTAAAAAATAGTAAGTGGTTTTCGGATTTGGAGAACTCTGTGAAAGACTACTTTGAGGTTGCTGTCTCTCAATAATTAATAAGAACTATGGATGCCAGGATTGCCAGCTTAATTGATAAGAATAGTGGATGTCAACTAGCTTAATTAATAAAAATCTTGGGGATGGTAATTTCATATCTTATAATTAAATGTTGTTTACATCACTGTTGTTTGTGGCTCCCTACACACACACAAAATTGGTAACTCACATGTTTTATGGCTTCAGGTACCATTAGTAGCTTCTAATCGCATTGGAAAGGAAACAATTGAGACTGAGCATGGTAGAAGTGAGATCACCTTTTATGGGAACTCCTTCATAGCTGGTATTCAATCCTTCATAGTGAGATCATATGTTTATGTAATTTTTTTTTTATTTTTTTTTTGGGTCATGACTTTAACTTGAAATTGTAATCTTCATTAATAGGTCCCACTGGAGAGATTGTTGCTACTGCTGATGACAAAGAGGAAGCAGTCCTTGTTGCTCAGTTTGATTTGGAGAAATTAAAGTACAAAAGATGTAGCTGGGGAGTATTTCGTGATCGTCGTCCAGAGTTGTACAAGGTGCTCCTTACATTGGATGGTGGCAATACTTATTCATGACTTTCCTTTTTTTAAAAACAAGTTTCTTTTTCCTTCGCCCATTCGAAATAGGCGGGTAGTATTTACAGACTCTTAAACGTTCCATAAGTGACATCATGTGATAAACATAAAGATGATACTTTAACTCTTTAAGGGGTTTCCTTAATTAATAAATTATCATTCTTGAGCAATTTTCACATCTTGCTGATGCATATTTAAAGATTTTGTTATAAATAAATGATTTCCCACTCCATTCATTTCAGACCTCTTACCTTTGTTTCATGTCAGTGTTTGCTACTTCCGTTTTTTTTTTTCCTAATACTTACAACACACTTTTTTTTATCACGCTATCTAAGGAGATGATTAGACTAAGTAAATAGATGAATTAAGTTATGAAATTTAAACTGTAGCAATTTATCACTTTCTTCTTATCGGTGGTAAAATTTTGTGAATTAACTTATCCGTTTATCTAGTCTGTTATCTCCCTTATAATGCATGCCGAAGAGGTGTGTCGCAAGTAAATAAAAACGGAGGAAGTATATTTTACTAATTGGCCCAATAATTTTGGAGTGAATCCCAATGGCTGTCTAGATTTGCTCAATTCTGCTGTGACTGACTGAATTTGGATATCTGACTGATTCATATGCACAATTTCCGAGACGATTTGATACTGCTACTGTTTTGTTTGTTTATTTTAACTCCATTTCGTTGACATTATTACTGAGCATGTCAAGCTCTGACTCAATTGCTTAGAATTGCGGGAATTTAGTGATGATTGCACCTTTGTTGTTCAATTTGTCAACATGTTAGCGTAATCTGATTAAGTGTTGCTCTTGTCTGTCAAGTTCCCACCATAATAATAAGGCATTTGTACAAGACTATCTGTTTTTTTTTTTTAATGGCAACATGAAAAAGATGCACGGTGTGGTAGGAACGGAGAGAGATAGAGATAAAAGGGGGGTCCATGTGATGAGGAAGGAAATAGAGAAAATCATTAGTCAACCAAAGTAATGTTGCAATTAAATTGCAACTTAAAAAAAGAATATATTCAATTAAAAAAGAACGGAGGATATTAGAAGAGTTGCTATGGGTTTCTACTAAGAGGGCGCTTGAAATGGGGGTAATAAATTAAGGGGGTAATAAAAGTCAAACTAGGTAAATTATAGTTGATTAGAGGTATTATTCTAGATAGACAAGGTGTTTATGAATGAATTAAGGTTGTAGTGACATAAGGAAAAGAGAGGGGTGGAGGAATCATTACCCTCAAAATGAGGATAATAGGTTACCTACCCTCCCCCTAGTGTAACCTATTACCCCCAAAATAAGGGTAATAGTTCCCTTTCTTCACCTATATGAATCTTCTTACAATCACATCACCATTAGCTCCCCCTCTCCTATGTTTACTTTAATTTTGCTTGGTTTGACTTTTATTACCCTTTAATTTAATACTCTCAATCCAAGCGCCCCGGAAATGTACGTATTCGCGTATTACTATATATGCAGCCTTGTTCTTCTAATAGGTAGTAAGATGTACTTGAAACTAGTATAATTCCCGTAAGTATGTTAGTTTGGCTCGTAAAATTTTCAATGCTTTCCATATTATTGTCTTTATGCTTCCTTCTGTTAACATTTTTCTAATGCCTCTTCTTTAGTGATTTGGTTGCAGTCCTATTTTTGCTATAATTGAGAGCCTTTGTAGGTATCCCCATGAGTCTAAAAGAAGAAGGATTGTATAGTTCTACACATCAAACTATTTATTCATGACATTTGGAAAAATAATTTACATTCCAACCCTGCGTAATGAAGGTTATAGCATAATTTCACTAATAGACCTTTATATCTGTTGCGTCATTAAAACACTCTCCATCAGTGATCAAGTAGGGACATCTCTAGAAGCCTAATGATAAACCATTACTATTTGGAAAAGGCGATAGCTTTTTTCCGAACATTTTAAAGTTACGTACGTGACACCTACTTAATCGATGAAGAGAGTAAATTTCTGTGGTTTATGTCGGTCTATGTTATGAGTAATCATCCTGTAGGATATAGATAAGAGAGTATGCCACACTCTGCCTCACTACTAATTTTCCATCATCCTGGACCCTATACGAAAGCTGTGATATCCTTTCTTGCATAAAGATTCTCGCTCTCTCTCCCTCCCTTTTTTTTTTTGGCTGTGGGGTGGGATGGGATGGGGGGATTCAAAGCATATCTTGAAGCATCTCATTGTTTTCACTTTTAACTTTCCTTGACAAAGAATCAAAACGTGATATATGTGGTAATGTGGTTTAGCAATGCTCCATCCTAAGGTGCCAAGTGATGTCAACCTTTCTTTTGTTTGCTACTTATTGTTAAATCAATATGTGGTGACTATTTAGCCTCCAATTCCACTTACTTCAAACATACATATTTTGCTGGAATCAACTCTTACCTCTTCTGACTTTTCTGGTCAAGTGATGCTTTGCTTTTTTATTACAATCTGAGGATTATTTTTTCCATCTGAATTCGTTTCTACCGTAACTTTTTGCCCATGCTTATGATATTTTTAGCTTGTAAGATTATGTTATGTGGTGCAATCTCAGATTTTATAGGTAGAATAAGATTTTTGTTATCCAGAAATAAAGAAAAAGGTTTCCACTTTTCATTTGGTATTCTCCATCGTACATTGTTCGGCAAAATGTACTGTTTTTTTATGTTTGTCTAATGTCTGTTCCACACGATTTGACTTGTGTTTTTAATGGTAATGAGAGTCATCATATCCATTGTTTAAGTTTTGGAATCTTGATACTGCTTTTCCAAGCAAATCTTCCTGGAGTTTTAAGATCCTTGTTTTACCTCGTTTCATCCGTGATTGAAGGAACTGGATGATGTATTTGTTCTGTGTATGAACTACTGTCTCGTCTGTTGAAATATTGCCTATGTTACTCTGATTTGGGTGCTTGTCTTGGACACGGTGTTCTAGTGTTTCTGGTTTGAAATAAAGTATCAAGTGTCGTTACCTATGTTGGAGTGTCGAAAATCTAACATAGATATATAAATATATTAGGCAATATGAAGAGTCGGAGTAACATAGTACATTACATACGTGGTCCTTTGTTCAACGAATGAACTTTCTACTGTCAGTTGTCTGTTGACAAAGATGTGTATATATAGTCGTCAGCACATATGTCAGTGAATCTTTTCATGCTACTTGGGTTTTTCTTTATGATGTCCAATTGCACACATGCACACAATCTTTCATTCATTTACTAATTGCTCTTACAGAAAGGTTCAGCGTCAGTCTCAGAAAGTTATGTTTTTGTGCAACATGGATGAGTTAGTGTTACCTTCATACCTTGTCACAAATTATTTGAATATAAGGAGGATATTTATATAATTATTAGAATATAAGAGAAAAGGTTATAAATTTTTCTATTGGTTGCAATGTTTACCTACTTGCTGTTAACATTTCTTAGGATATTTCCTTGGCAACTGTACATCAATTACTTGAATAAAAATCTGCAAAAGCTTTTAACTGCACAATTGTGATCATACAAAATTAAATTGCTATATTATTCATAATAATGCACAATTTAGGCTTTCTTAAAGCAAGAACAAAGATGAAGTCAACTTCAGCTGAATCCTGATTTTGACTTGGGACTATTATTCTCAGACTCCAATATATCTAATCCACCTGCTGTGATAATCTGATACCTGAGACAGACTAATGCTTTTAATGAATCAGGCTCATTTAGCGCGTCTCGATAATGCAAGACGTTTATAGGCTTTTCCTCCACAGATTTCTCAGAGTCCTGGTAGATTTTGTGGCTATATTGGCATGACTTCAATCATCTTTCCTAAAAATATTGCATTTTGCACCAGCAGTAGTTCGGTACTTTGGGTTTCAGGACAAAAACTAGTAGTAATAAAGTTCAATGTACATAAACTACTTATGATGAGGATCAATTATTCTTGCAGTTATCCTCTTGTTTAGAATTCTGAACAGAGAGAAAGAACACAAATTTCGAAACCTATCGTCTCTGGCAGGCTGCTGCAACTCTTTACTCGTTACATCAATAATCAATAAAATCATGAATAACTTCTCACAAATTCAACCTCCTCCTCAACACCTTCTCCTTTGTCTTTGTCTTCTTCTTCTTCTTCTTCTTCTTCATTTTCATCGATCCTTCCAACACAACATGTCTCTTCTTCTCCTTCCCCTCCTCCCTCTCCACCATCATCATCTTCAGCATCATTATCGTTGTCGTTGTCATCATCATCTTCTTCTTCATCTGGTTGAACAAAGCTTAAACGAAGCCGCCCTTCTTCCCTACTAGCTTGAAGACACTCCTGTGTAGGTATCCTAACCTCCCTTAACACAAACCTGCCATTTTCTCTGTAAGACTGAAAGGAAACAGAGGGTTTTCCTGCCTGTCCAATGTAAGCTATAGGCGGAGGGAACATCGTTGCTCCATTAACCTTTATCTTCCTGCAGTAAGAGTCACTTGAATGTCTTCTGACATGCAGTTTAGGATTTGTGTTCTGAACCTCCAACGTCAAATCCTCTACATCACCCAAGCTCTCAGAACCAAGGCCTTCAGTACACAGCTGCAGGCTGTCAGAGTTCAGAGACGAGAAACTGTCACTCTTCCGATGGTATGGTCGTGAGTATCCATCGTTGGTCGGAAACGAGGTAAGTGCACCTCCACTCTTCTCATCCTGTTGTTTGTCTATGTCAGATTTTTGTGAAACTAAGTCAATAGGAAATGCTGATGCTACTGATGTCGACGTTGGTGGTGGTGGAAAAAACGACGATGTAGGGTTGGAATGATTCTCTTTGAAATGAAGCTCACCGAAGATCTCGGTGAAGGAGTGATCAAGGGGTGGTTTGAGAGTTTTAATATGGTTCCAAGACGAAAGAGAATCGATCAAGGACGAGGCAGAGGAAGGAGAAGAGTTGTTTTCAGGTACAATCGTGTTCTCGAAGATGTGCCTTAGGCTTTTACAAGCTGCCATTGCTATTTTGCTGGAACTCTATATTTATTAATGGCTTAAAAATGGGAAGGGATTAAAGATAGAAGAGATTGAAGGGTAGCAAAGAAGGGAAGTAGTAGAGAAGATTACGTCTCACGAGATAGATGTGAATATGGGGGTTGATCTGTTCAAAGATAAAGAGGCAGGTGGGCTGATAGCAAGGCATTAACCTGTTCTTTTATTAGT